AAACCCAGTAAGAGAGGATATACATTGCTTCTCTTCTTCAGGGATGCCACAACAAAACAATTGACATTTAGTAGGGTTACAACGAAAACCAGATTCAACATAGAACTGTGCAAGCACCCTTTGTATACCAGCCACCCCTCTAATGGATCCATTTGTAAACATTAAGAGATCATCTGCAAAACACAGATGGGTGATCTCTAGTGCTTTACAGCGTGGATGATATGGAACTTGATTATCAATAGTTGCTTTATGAATTAGACATGAGAAGTACTCCATTGCCACTATGAACAGATATGGGGAGAGGGGATCTCCTTGCCTAAGCCCCTTCCCAGCAGAAAAATAACCACACAGGCCTCCATTAAAGGAGACACTGAGCTTTGGAGTGGTAACACAGGCCTCTATAAGTCTAACATATGATTCTGAAAATCCCATTGCTAGAAGCATATTAAACAGGAAAGACCAATTCACCGAGTCAAAAGCCTTCATTAGATCGATTTTTAGCACACATCTCGATGTAGTATTCTTCAAATGATAATCTTTTACTAACTCACTAGCCATCAGAATATTGTCACTGATTAACCTCCCCTTTATGAAAGCTGACTGTGATTTACTAATAACCGGAGGAAGCACTGCTGCTAACCTATTTGCTAGGATTTTAGTTATTCCTTTATAGAGTACATTGCAACATAATATGGGACTAAAATCTTTCATTCTATCAGCATTAACCACTTTAGGTATTAAAGAGAGAATAGTGGAGTTTACCTGTTGAGGCATTACTCCTGTTTGAAAAAATTACAGAACCACCTCTTCCACCAACTCTCCAACAACAGACCAATCTGATTTATAGAACTCAGCAGTAAAGCCGTCCGGACCAGGGGCTTTATCATTTGGCATCTTTTTAAACACCTCTCTGATCTCCTCCCTTGTAACTGGAGTCAACAAAACTTGAACACCTTCTGCATCTAATCTTCTTCTTAGCTGCTGCTAGAAATAGGTAACTGGAAGGGTTTTAACTTCTCTGTCAACTTCCCCCAAAAGCTTTTTGTCAAACTTAACAGCCTCATCACCCATTTCCTTAACCTCAGTCAATTCCGTATTGTCGTCTTTAATTAGCTTCATAATGGTTTGCTTATGGTTTCTAATTTTCACCATGACATGAAAATAAGCTGTGTTTGCTTCACCTTCCTGTATATTTCTAATTCTGGACTTTTGCCTGAAAAAGCTCTCTTCTGCCAATTGCAAATTATGACACAATTCAGCCAACTCAAGCTCCTTTTGTGCATTCTCTTCAGTTGGATCTTGAAGAACTACCTGCTGCTGCTCTGCAAGTAAGTTCTGCTGCTCTAGTCCTCTCACAAATATCAGAATACTCCGAACGATTTAACTTTTTTAGCTTGTTCTTGAATACCTTTAGCTTGCTGTAGAATTAATGATAATATAACCCCCTAACTGATTCCCCCCAAGCTTCTACCAACAGCGATGGGTATTGAGGATGCTTCTGCCAATACTTGAAATACTTGAAAGGCTTGGGAAGTGAGCCTAGCAAAGGAGTAGAATCTAGCACCAAACCACAATGATCCGAGACCCCCGGAGCCAGAGTTTTTGCTACACTCTGAGGAAAGGCAAGAAACCAATCCTTGTTCACAAGGAAACGATCTAGTTTCTTTGCTATGGGGTTCGCTGATTGCTTGTTCCACCATGTAAACTGCGAGCCAAGGATCTTATGATCAATCAAACACATTTCTGAAATCCAATCCATGAAATCCAAACCCCCCTGAGTCATATCAGTAGCATTAGAACCCTCCCTAACATCCATAATAGCGTTAAAATCACCCATAAAGACACCTGGTTCACCTCTAACCTTCCAAAGTAGTAACTCGGAGTACATGTCCAGTCTATCCTTTACTTTGTTTGGACTACAGATAGCAGTGACATTACACCTTGATAACCCTTCAACCCTGACCTGTATGAAGTGCTCCCCCATTTTAACTAGATGAACCTTCAAACTAGGCTTCCAAAAAAGCCATACCCTCCCTGAAGCTGAATGTGCATAGTTATCTAAATGCTTCCAAGCACTAAAATGACGTTGTATAATATCTGCCGCATTCTTTTCTAATACTCTAGTTTCTAAAATTGCTGCAAAATCTATATTCAACTTTATTAACTGCTTACTAATATACCTATGCTTCTCAGGGGCATTAAAACCCCTGAGATTCCAACTTAGAAACTTCATTTGTACTTCTTACCCCTCCCCTTCTTAGGAGGTCCCCTGATAACCAGAGCTTGCCCTTGAGCAGCAGAAGGAAAGGCCCTAAGAGCAGTATCATGTGCAATTCCTTTGCCCTTCATTGTAACTAGTTGAAAGCCATCTTCATCAATCGGCTTACCAGAGAGGGAATTAAGAGGAGTAGACGTCCCTTCTAAACTTGAGCCTGCTACTAGAGCTGGGCCTCCATCCATTGGTGAGCCAGCTACTGGAACTGGACCTCCTAAAATTGAGCCAGTTACATGAACTGGACGTCCTTCAGTTGAGCCAGCTACTGGAAATGGACCTCCTTCACTTGGTAGAGCAGCCACTGCACTTCCGCCACTGATTGAACCATATACTAGAACTGATTCCCCGTCATTAGACCTTCCAGACAAGCTTGCCTTGGCCTTAGATACCCAAGCTACCTCATCAGTCATATTCTCCGCCCTGATTAACTCTTTACCTTTGATAACCTGCACTTCTTTGCACTCCTTACCCTCCCCCTCACAATGACCAAACTCCTTGCGCTGCTTACACATCATAGGAACATGAAGATAACGAACTACCAGATACAACGGCCCCTCCCCTTCTGGTGTAACACTGATTGTGTCCGGGAAATCAAAATCAGCAGAATCTCCACACAAATGCTTGCAATTCCAACTTAGGCACCTAACCTTGTTGCTTGATCCATCCAGAGTGGTGTACCCAGCAGGCTAGCGATCCTACTCAAACCCTCCCTCGTACACTATTCAAGCGGCAACCCACTGAGACGAACCCAGATCGAAAGTGACTGCAGACTCATTTTACCCGTTTGGATTCCCGAAACCCAGCGTTGAAGGAAAATGGGATTGATATTATAGTGCCAAGGCCCATTTTCAAACACCCAATTGCTTGCATCTCGATCATAAAATTGGAAGAGAAACATGTTATCCCCACAATGAGAGACTGTCACCCTACCATCTCGCCCCCAGAACCGTCGCGCCCAGCGCCTCAATTGCGCGATCTCTAGCGTCGACGAAAGAAATTGCCCTACTAGAGCGTGCCGCCAACGACCAACACCATCCTCCCGCACCGCTCTTGGAATGACTAAGGATCCATTAACAAGATCTGGGGCAACATACTGTAGGCGATTGGACTCTCCGACGCCGAACAGCTACGCCCAATTAGCTGGAGCGCCCTGCACGGCGGCCATCGGCCGATCTCGCGAAACACTCTTCAACCCTGGTTTCAGAGGAAAAACAAAAAAAAAACTGTTTTTTCAAATATTATTCAACGAAAGTTGGCCAATAATATTTTATCATTGGAAATTAATCAATGAATACTTTTTTAAATAAGAAAAGTGAGTTTGATTAATCAAATTGGTTATAAATTATAATAATATTCAACAATTTGGATTTTATCTCCTAATTATGAAACCAAAAATACAACATAAAAATAAAGGCTAAATTACATGTTTGGTCACTCAAATTACATAAATATTTCACGTTTGCCACCCAAATTAGTTTTCTTTCATATTCGCCACTAACTTTATGAATCATTTTACCATTAGTCACTGTCTGTTAGTCTCCGTTAATTTTTTGATGACGTGACAAACAGAACTGCTGACTAGACTGTTAATTCAATGACATGTCAATTTAAAAAATAATAAAAAATAATTAATTAACATTCCAACTCCTCCTCCCCTCTGCATCTCGACAGCTGCGCCAAAATACTTCGCAGAGACTTAGACACCCTCACCGAAACCACCACCGCCACCATCATTCCACCAGTCCGGCGGAACTCCTCCATTCCGGATCGTCCAACATGATGACTCCTGTTGGGAGTCACTTACTATAGCGCAATGGCCGCTGTATTCATCCGTGAAAAATGTCGAATCCCCCATATCCGAAACCCTAACCGTGATCGAATCCCGCACCTCCCTCGTCGTTCTGGTCAACAAGCTCATCCGCCATCCCAATCCTATTTCATCTGTGAAAAGATGTCCAATCCCCATCTCTGAAACCCTAACCTCGATCGAATCGCGCAACTCCCCTCGTCGTTCTGGTCAACAAGCTCCTCCTCCATCCCAATCCTACGAACATCCGCCCCACCCTCCCCAATTAGATAGTCGATGCCCTGAATTCGGATTCGGACATCCGCTATGAAGGTTCTCAGTGAATCGAAGATGATGGGAAAGGTTCCGATTGAGGCAATTTTAGAGATCCCTGAAGTTCATGGAGGATTGAGGCAGTGAATGTAGGGGATAATACGAGTGTGACGATGAAGAAGGAGAAGGCAGCGTTGGCAAAAGGGAACTCGTCTGATTGTGCAGCTGACGTGATTGAGTGGTTATAGATGTTAATTAATTATTTTTTATTTTTTTATTTTTTTAAATTGACATGTCATTAATTTAATGGTCCAGTCAGTAATTATGTTTGCCACGTCATCAAAAAAAAACTGACGAAGTTAACGGAGTCTGACGGAGACTAACGGTCGGTGACTAATAGTGAAATGATTCGAAAATTTAATGACGAATAAAAAAGAAAAATAATTTGGGTGAAAAATATGAAATATTTATGCAATTTGAGTGATCAAACATGTAATTTAGCTTAAAAATAAATGAAAGAATAGCTTAAAAATAAATGAAAGAAAAAGAAGAGGTTAAGGGAAAAGGGTCGGCCCAAGAAGGAAGGGCAGAGGCAGCCATTTGTGGAAGGATATCTGGTGGGCCCGCAACGTAACTCCGTCATCCCATTGCTCATCATCCCCCAGCGCGCAAATAAAAAATAAAACAAAGAAAAAAGAAAGAAGCAAATAAAATAATGCAAAAGGGAAAAGAGTTAGAGCAGAGAGAGAAAGAAAGATTTCGATGGCCGTTACTCTGTCTCTGCACCTATATAATAATAATATTAAGCTCGCTGTCGTTCGCAGAGCAGCAGACGAGAGAAGGCTGGGCACGCAGCAGCTGCGGCAGAAGCGACGTACCACCACCGCCGCGGTGGTTGAAGACGAAGAAGCATCAGAAGAAGAAGAAGAATATTTACTGCCGCGGTTCACCGCGGTAACCGTCTCCCCCGCCTCATTTACCGCTCGCACTGTTTGGCTCCCGAGAAAACGGAAGAAATTTGCTCAGGAAAACCAAGGTGTTTATTTCTCTCATTCTCTCTCTGTCGCTATCTCCCTTCGTAGTTTGACTTCCGTTTCGGACGGACGGTTCACATTGTTGCTGCGGAGAGCTTTGGCCTCCTCCTCGTTTTTCCCCCTCTTTGGGTGTTTTCGTTTGTGTTTTCTCGGCGACCAAACAGGTCTAGTATTCTATTCGCTCTGTTGGTGGAATTTGGATGTAGTAAATTTTTTTTGTTTCTTTGCTTTCCACGGGATTTCGACGGTATATGCTCTGCTTGAAAGTTGGTTGCTGTTTGGATATATTGACGTTCTCGGGTCACTGTATAGATTGAGAGGTGTGTGTGAAAGGGTTGGTTCTCTATAATTGTTAATTATTTTTGTGTACTATTCCAGACTTTTGTTTTGGCGTTTCTCCCTTTCTCCATTAGGCTACTGTTTCTGATGCTGGAATGTCTTGTTATAGCTAAGTAATGGAGGCAGATGGCTCCATACTTTCTTTCTGGAAGAGGAAGGTTGATAAATTTGTTCCTTGGCTCCAATCCTTTTCTTTTCCATAACTGAAAGATGTGATGTTTCACATGTTTATGTGAAGTCTATTCTGCATATGGATTTATTTTTCAAGCTCGTGACTAGTTGAATGAAGTGTTGATACGAGCTCTCTAAGAGATTGAAACTCTTTTTGTTCCTTTTTAATCACTTTGGATTTTTTTCTTACCTCAGTATAATTGTGTAGTTCTCTTGGTTTATGTGTCGTGTCCTTGCTTAAAGAGTTTCTTTCTTGGTCAGATTCATTGTTGATTCTTCTACTCATGGGATTGGAGAAAGAAGAAGCACGGCCGGATAGCGATGGAGACAAAGGTCTTCATGGGTCCCTGGCTGTATCGGTGCATGCCTTTTCTGATTTGACTCACATTTCTCCTGTGGTCTTCTTGTATCTCTTGAAAGAGTGTTATGTTCATGGTAAGTTCTGTTGTTTTCTTGAATAGTATGTTCTGTTAAAGATGATAATCTTTTCCTTTACTGGCTTGGTTGGATGTTATGAAGAATGGCCAGCTAAAATGAAATGGGTTTGTAGATCATTGAGTTAGGTTATCGATTGGCAGTTGGAGTGATTTGGAACTGGCAAATGGTTCCCCGTGGTTTCAATGAAATTTTGTTAGGCTTTACGCTGTCTATTGTCGATGACGGGATTTAGGTTGTCTATTTCTTCAAACGAGTTCCTGTCTGCAATCTCACTTACTACTCCGTTACTTGTTACAACGTATAACATCCAGCTTTGCTTATGAAATTATGATCTCCTTTTTACAGGTACATGTAAGGCAACTAAAAAGTTTAGAGCTCTTCAACACCAAGTGCATCTGGTTCTGTATAATTCTCCCCAACCAGGGCCTGCTACCTTCATTGCTCGATGCCTCTTTGTGCTGCCTGTATTTGGAATATACTGTGATGGGTTCAGTCACTTGATTGTATCTGCTTTGCACCGTTTCCGAAATGCTGTAACTACGGCAGAGGACAGCTCTATATCAAAAGTTTTAGCAGCTCGGCTATTTATTGATATAGTGGAAGGATCACTTCCTGTTCTCGATGAGAGAATCGGGGTGAAAATACTCGAAGTTTTTCACGTCACTATGACTGACATGGATGAAGCTATGTCCCAATTGAAGTCCCAAAATGATTCTAGGTTTGACACAGGCAAAGCATATGTTGAGCATTATATTTTTAAGTTGGTGGAGTCTCAGGCTTATATGACAGCAGTCATTTTGCTAGAACAGTTCTCCATCCGTCAATCTGGTCACTCTTTCCTCGTGAAGATGCTGGACATACATCAGTATAAAGCAGCTGAAAAGTGGGCTACATTCATGGGGAAGGAAATGTTGTGTACTCTTGTAAAAGAGTACGTTGATAGGAAAATGCTGAAGCCAGCATACGACATTATAAAGAAAAACAACCTGAAGCAAGATTTTCCAGTTGTATACTTTAAGTGCAAAGAAAGGTAATTTAAAATTCCCTTGTCTACTTCATCAAGTACGAGTGGGTGTTTACTCCTATTTCAAAAGCTACTGCAAAATTCATATCGGCATTTGAATTGGCAGCTCATTGAAGAAATTAGCAGAGAAGGCACTGTGGGATCTGGCAGAAACCAAGGCACATGGGGATGAGCAACTCCTTGAATATCTGGTAAGCAGTTCACGCATGCGTTTACGTTCTCTTGTTATTCAGATCTCAGATGGCTTGTTTATCAAGGCAATTTTAGTTTGCATGACATGGGGTCTCTGTCCAGATTCTCTTGATATCCCGCTTCCTGTTTTCCTATGTTAGTATTAACTTCAAGGGTGGGTAGCTAAATTGTCCCAGATGCAAACATGCCTTCAAATTTTTGTATGAGACAGAGAAATTGCCTGCCTAGTTGAAAAAGATAGGATCTTATATTTGTTATTGTCGTGCATGGTTATTTGTTCCATACACATCTAAATTGAATACACAAATACATTTGCAGATACAGGCACTAAAGGTGATTCTATTTATTTCTAGGTTTACTTGGCAATGGAGGCTGGATACTCGGAGAAAGTTGATGAACTGTGTGATCGATACTCCCTTGAAGGCTTTAGAAAACTCAAAGGTCTTTCTTGTAAGACCTTATATCATCTCCCTTGTAGTTACAGTAATATGTTTGGTAAAGTTTGTGTTTGATAAAGTAGTAGCAATTATCAGATTGTTTATATTTGCATGCCTTGGCTTAACATGATACCATGGCTATCCGGTTACAATAAAATTTCTTCGAGGGTTAACTTGATAATGTGTGCCCCATAAAGAGAACTAGATCATGTTTGCTAATTTTGATGTCTGAACATATCATATGGGAAACGAAGACAAAATGACTAGATCAGTTAATGTTTCTCAGTTCAGATATATAGTCGAAAGTTACAGCTATTAGCACACTCGTGCTCCATGGTATGTTTGCTTGCATCTAGTTGTCAAAACTTAAAAGGTGTTTCACATACTGCTGTCAAATTTTGTTGCCAGAACCCGAGATAAGTGCTCAGCATAGTAGATACCTGCAGCTGAACGAGTTAATCACCAAAGATATTGTCTGGGTTGATGAAGTTGATGGTCTTCATGATGCTACCTCTCACATAGAAGGATGCAAAGTTGTTGGTCTTGACTGTGAATGGAAACCTAATTACCAGAAAGGCAGCAAACCGAACAAGGTAATTTTCTCCAATCGTCTTACAAACTGTTGTCTCCCGCAATGGTGTCTCAAATAGTGAGATCATATGTCCATATCTGCTCTTTCTTTTCTTCTGAAAATATTGAAGTTTCTATTGTTTCAGGTTGCTATCATGCAAATAGCTTCTGAGGAGATGGCTTTTATTCTAGACTTGATAAAGTTATCTGAAGACGTGCCTGAAGTTTTAGACAACTGTCTAACTCGCATTTTGCAGTCTCCTGGAATTCTGAAACTTGGTATGGAGCTTCTTAGTACAATACCTATATACAGTTTGAAAAGAATCAATGGTTGGTTCAACCTTCAGAAAGTGTGTTTTGCTTAAATGTTACAGTCTTGGATTGATTGGCAGGATACAACTTTCAATGTGATATAAAGCAGCTGGCTGGTTCATATGGAGAGCTCAGTTGTTTCAAGCAGTACCAAATGTTGTTGGATGTTCAGAATGTATTCAAAGAACCGTGTGGTGGCTTGTCAGGGCTTGCAGAGGTAATCTTGAAAGTCACCCATCAATTCTCCATGCATTTAAGCTCTGTCTACTTTCCTTACAGCATTTCTGTTTACCCTTTTAACCTCTTCTCATTATTATGCCTGCTGGATTTGACCAGAAAATCCTGGGAGCAGGGTTAAACAAGACAAGGCGAAATAGCAACTGGGAAACACGTCCTCTTAGCCAGAACCAGGTATTATTTCAATCCCCACAATGACAAACTTCATTTTAATGAATAATTCGATGAACCCCTGATGAACACTTTTCTTAATCCCACACCGTATATGCCAATAGCTGAAAATCATGACATGAACTAATGTTGAATACTGCGTAATGTTTCTGTATACAGCTGGAGTACGCTGCTCTAGACGCTGTTGTGCTGGTGCACATATTCCACAAAGTGCGTAACCATGCTCAATCTGCTCCTCCTGCTTCTGCACATGGCCACGAGAAGTTCGAGTGGAAATCCCATATCGTGAGTCTTTATCAATGCCGCGCCTTTTTCACATCTCTTAACCACTTTTTCCTTATCTCCCCACATAAACTAACCTTTTTGTCTTTGTGTCTCTTCATTTTCTGGACCATGAGCAGATTTCTCACATGGATAACGCCAAGAAAACCAAGAAGCACTGGAAAGCAAGAAAACAATCGAAACCACAACAGCAACAGCAATGAAACCATGAACTCGTGTCTGTCGTCTATGCTTGCCTGCAACTGATCAGCAAGGTGCTTCCTCCATTTCCTGTCATTGTACATAGAAAACTGCTTGCTCGTCTCAATCTTCGATGTGTACATATAAGTTAGGATGATATCTCTCCATTTAGCCTTGAGTAACTAAAACTCTTACTGTGCTGTTTGCACTTCTCGTACCCGAGTCTCTCAGACTCGGTCATGCTGTTTGTACTACTTGGAGAAAGAATAGAGGAAAGAGGGTTATTTTGTGGGCTCGAATCGGCTATGGTGTATTTTGGGCCTGGGCTGAGGTTATCAGCCTGCCCTTGCGAAACTAAAATTTTCTTATACAGGTTCAAAAGTGCTACAAATTACAACTACAAATTGAAACTAAAATTTTCTTATACTGGTTCACTAGTGCCCTAGTGAAACTAAAATTTTGAGCCTGGGCTTGGGTATAGTTCGGTTTGGATTAGAATGGTATTTGATTCGGTGAATTCTATGTTGCTCTCTTAAATCTTTTGTTGCAATCGTTTGTTTGATGACTGAAACACTATTAAACATGGGATCTAGGTTACTTGTGTATGAAATTATCGTCTTTCATAACTAATTCCCAAACGTATAGCCAAAATTGGCTTTTAACGTGTGTGAACATATATGCTTGTAAACGCGTGGTTCAATTTAGTTCTCTTTCGTGAACCAACCAAAATAAAATGGTTCCAACGTAGAAAACAGTTGTGGGGCAAGTTTCGCGTTGTCGTGTTGACTCAAAGGCAAATGTAATGTTATTTTTTGAGAAATGTATGCATGCAACTCCCATGCTATTATTACTACCTTGTTATGTGTTAGAAATCACTTTGCTTTAGTTTATATGTGTGTAAGTAACTACTTTTGAAATATCGATTAAAATTGCTTTTTTTTTTGTTATGCAAAATAATGATCTTAGATGGGAGATTTTTACAATTCTAGATGATCCAAATGATGTTTTTGCTTTAGTTTTACGTTTCTGATTCATCACATTTCAATTCTACGTAGAAATTATAGTTTGACTATATTAAATCCTAGTGATATTAGTGACTTCAAGGCAAGATTGGTAATTTGAGTAACATTTCTTAGCGGTTAATGTCATACTAAGATGGATTAGGTTTAAAATCTGTGTCATGAAAATGATTGTATTAAAAAAAATATAGAATAATTGCAAGAAAAATAATGTATGTATAAATACTGATGTTTGTTTTGTAAATTAGAAAGAGTAACAACACAAGATAGTTGTGATTTAAAGCAAAGGATGTTTGTTGAGGCCAAGACCTTTTCTCTAATACATGAATTTAGTATGAGTCATGTTTAATGTCTTGAGTATGACGTGACAAGATAATAAGCTAGTGTATGCACTAGTATGTTCGCCATCCTTAGTGTTCGGAAAATTGGAGAGCAAGTAATATTGAAAGAGCAGAAGTCTTTGTTTTCATGAGATATTGGAGGGAACCAAAATATCACTTCAGTAAAACAGAGTTAGAGTAAATGCCAACAATTAGTCGATTGTAGATCAAACTCAGGAATTGCTCATAGTATGGTGATAGAGTTCATCCTTATAGACGCGGAGTCAATATGTTGATGTTGATCACAAACTCTTACTTATCTATATGTTTATTATCTATTTTTACTAGCCACATACGGGAGATTTACTAGCCACATACGGGAGAGAATTGGAACTACACATGATAGAGTAAATTATAAAAGTAACAACACAAGATAGTGGTGATTCAAAGCGAAGGATGTTTGTTGAGACCAAGACCTTTTCTCTAATACATGAATTAAATATGAGTCATGTTTAATGTCTTGAGCATGAATTGACAATATTACAGGCTAGTGTTTGCACTAGTATGTTCTTCATCCTTGGTGTTCGAAAAATTTGAGAGCAGACATATTTTTAAAGAGAGGAAGTCTTTGTTTTAATGGGATATTGGAGGGAACCAAAATATCACTTCAGTAAAACAGAGTTAGAGTGAAAGCCAACAATTAGTCGATTGTAGATCAAACTCAGGAATTGCTCATAGGTATTGGTGACAGAGTTCATCCTATAGATGCGGAGTCAATATGTTGATGTTGATCACAAACTCTTACTTATCTATCTGTTTATTATCTATTTTTACTAGCCACATACGAGAGAGAATTGGAACCACACATGATAGAGTAAATTAGAAAGAGTAACAACACTAGATAGTGGTGATTCAAAGCAAAGGATGTTTGTTGAGGCCAAGACCTTTTCTCGAATTCATGAATGATGGATGAGTCATGTTTAATGTCTTGAGCATGAAGTGACAATATAATAAGCTAGTGTTTGCACTAGTATGTTCGCATCCTTGGTGTTCGAAAATTTTTGAGAGCAAGTATATATTGAAAGAGAGGAAGTCTTTATTTTCATGGGATATTGGAGAGAACCAAAATATCACTTCAATAAAACAGAGTTAGAGTGAAAGCCAACAATTTGTCGATTGTAGGTCAAACTCAGGAATTGCTCATAGGTATGGTGACAGAGTTCATCCTTATAGACGCGGAGTCAATATGTTGATGTTGATCACAAACTCTTACTTATCTATCTATTTGTTATCTATTTTTACTAGCCACATACGGGAGTGAATTGGAACTACACATGTGTAGTTATTCCTTTTATATATTCGGTGTCATTGCTTAGTGAGAAAAGGACTTACCTTATAAACAAAATATCAACACAATCAATTAGACACATGAACATAGGAAATAAGCACATAATTATGCAGACATAATATAGAAAATGCTTTATGTGATGTATGATGTATCTATTTATAAAAGCATGCTATGAGGGCTAATACCTTTACATTTTTACATTAATATCCTTTTGTGAGCATGACTCATTTAAAGGCAAAAATAACAATCAAGAGTAACAATAATGATATTGAAATTTTATATAAAACATGTACTAAGAACTTTACCCCAAACGTCACTGTCACTGGTTTATTTCCATATAATATTTTATTTTCTTATTTCTACAATAAATGCTCAATTTAATGTTGTTTAGAAAATATTTCACAATTGAACGTCCTTTAGTGTGAACTGCGTTGTTTACTACTGAATTAAATTGTTGACCCAAAAAAAGCTAAGTGGAACACAGATAAGTCCAATTGAAATTAAATGTCCCTTTCAACTCCCCAAGCTTCATTCTAGCCTCTAGGGATGGCAATGGGGCGAGTTTGACTAAACCATCCTCATCTCCATTTCCAAATACCCATACACGGCCTATACCCATGCGGGTGGAGGATTTGCATACCCATCCCCATACCCGCGGGTTTCGAGTACCCAGGAGTAATACCCATCCCCATGTATGCATTACTTCTACACCTAATCAACAACATACATTCTTCGATTATAACACTAAAAAAACCAAATAAATTATGAAATCAACAAGGTACAATCATTCTTAATACAAAAAAAAACATCCAATTCTTTGTTTAATTGTTTCTAAAAGATCAAAATCTACTAGACTACTTCAAACACACAAAGTCGCATTGCCACTCCCAAAAGCATTACATAATATCCCTTCTTCATTTCTCCATACCTACAAACACTAAATAAATTCGTTGTTGGAATAGAAGTTGTTTGGGTGGCTGCAGGTGATATTGCATCGAGATTGTGAAGAGTTGTTAGCCATCTAGCATATAAGCAGCCGACTTCCTGAAAGAATTAAAATCCAAATCAATTGTAAGGTCAAACACCATTAATCATTTATCTAAAATGGATGACTTCCAATTTCCAAAACACTAAAGAAAAAGAATATGGGTAATCCAACGCAAATGATAAACAATATTACCACTACCAAATGAGAATCTCTCTTCTTTCCAACACCATGTATGCCACCAGAATCCCAAAATAAGATCCAACCATAAACAGTATTACCACTACCAAATAAGTGATTATTGCAGCTACTTAACTGTACTTAGCACAGTTGATCAACAAGCAAAGTATGCAACCGATAAATTGAGTGTAGTTATTTACCTTGTTCCATCTTGGGATTCATTCCCCAAAACACTAAAGACACAAAATACAAACAATTGACATCTACCTCGTTGATGTTGGCCGCCGATTTTTTGCCGCTGGTGGGCGGGGACGAGAATGACTGCGATTGGGGCTGATGGAGAACCTCTGAACCTGTGCGTGGAGCTGGGCGGGGACGGGATCCGGGTGAACTCTATTTCACCCTTTGGTGTTCCGACGATGATGGCGCTGGGGTTTGCTGGGATGGATGAGACGGCGTGAGAAGAAATCAGATCTGGGGGGAATGTTGATGAGCTTTCCACTGATAATCCATCGGTATATATACAGAGTTTCACTAATCACTGTTATCTAACGGCTAATGCTAACTAAAAATTTAATTCTACCAATTACAAGCTAACGCATGTAAAGCTGTACAGTTAATTGGAAATCCTTTTCGTTGCTGAAGCACACCGTTTCGTTCATTGTTTTTCCTTTGCGATGTCGGTTTGCTCTGCTCTTTCTTCTTCTTCATTTCTTCCTTATGTTCTGGAGCAGAGATGCATATCCTCATTGTTGTTGAGCAATTCACAATGGCTGGAGAGTAACTATCTTCCAGGCTCCTTGTTACCTTCCACAAGCTGGCGAGTATATGTCATATACTCCCAGCTTGGACAACAACAATATAAATCGATCAATGGATAAGCTTTTGGTGAAGATGTCTGCAGGCTGCACATCTGTTGGAATGGCTAATCAGGTTACTCGAAGACTTTGGAGTAGAGCATCACAAGCAGTATTTTCTATGTGATACTGTGATTCCCCTGATTCCTCTTGTTACCTCCAATCCAAGAAAGTACTTCAATTCTCCTAAATCCTTCATTTTGAACTCTCCTTGCAACAATCTCTTGGTTTCTGTTATGGATTCCAAACTGATGCTACCAATCATAATATCATCCACATACATAATTAAAACAACAAGTGTACCAAGAACTTGTGCTGTGAAGATAGAGTAATCTGAGTAGGCTTGTTGGAATCCATGTTTCAATAGGATTTCAGTAAGTTTGGTATACCACTGTATGCTTGCCTGTTTTAAACCATAGGGCGATTTCTTCAAATGACAGACCTTCCCTTTACAGTCATTTCCTAAATTCAAGCCAGGAGGTATCTCCATGTATACCTCTTCAGTCAAATCCTCATTCAAAAAAGCATTGCTTCCCAAATTCTGCACCGTTGCTACTGCAAGCAAGGTTTTCACTGAACTAAGCTTGGCTACTGGTGAGAAAGTATCACAGTAGTCAATGCCATAAACCTGGATATAACCCTTAGCAACTAACCTTGCTTTTAATCTTTCAAATGATCCATCAGAGTGCAATTTTATTCTAAAAACCCATTTGCAACTTATAGTCCTTTTCCCAACAGGTAAATCTGTGATTTCCCAAGTG